TTTAGCTCAGTGGTGCCGGTGCATGTCTTGCAAGCACAAGGTCCCAAGTTTGATCCCTGGTACCCCCCCTAAATTTAAAAAAAAAAATAAATAAATAAATACAAATAGGTTACATTATAACCTTCTTTTACACTTAATTTATAGCATTTTCCCACACCATTAAATATTTTATATAATTAATGGCTGCATAGCATTTCAATATGAGTATAGAGTAGTGAATATAATCTATCCAATATCACTGGAGAAGTAAGATGCTTTCCCTTTTTTGCTAATTTTAAACAGCAGTTAACATTTGTCCATATTCTTAATTATTTCCTTGGGATACATTTTTAGATGTTAAATTGCTATAATAATAGCTAAAATTGGTTAGTGCTTTTTTATGTGCCATTATAAAAAGCACTTTGAGCTGGGCATGGTGGCTCACGCCTGTAATCCCAGCACTCAGGAGGCTGAGGCAGGAGGATCATTGTGTGTTTGAGACCAGCCTGGGCTACATAGTGAGTTCCAGGGCAGTCTCAACTACATAGTGAGACCCTGTCTCAAAAAAATAAAAAAACAAAACAAAAGGCACTTTGATATTTGATTTTACAAGTACTATTTTTTCCCTCATTTCACAGATGGGATATGAAGACTCAGCTAAAGTTAGAACTGGAGGTTGCTGAGCGGGTGGGTTTTATAGCTACAGGTTCAAACCTATCTGCACTATCCAGGCTGGCTTTCAGCCCTGAGTGTCTCCATTTGGAGTTTATAACAAGATCAAAGTCTCATGACAATTGTTAAAACCCAGGTTAATTTATATAAAGAGCTTAGTTAGACTTAGTTAATATACTTAGTCCATTATCAACAAACATCATTTTTTTTTTTTCTTTTGGTGACGGGGGTTGAATTTGGGACATTGCACTTTTGAGGCAGGCAGCAAAACCAGAGCTAAATCCCTGGTCCAAACATTAGTTTTTTTAAAAATTAATTTTATTGGTACTCTTTTGAAATTCATAATGATCACATTCATCATAGGTAATCTGTATCTATATATATTTTTTCCTCATCCTCTACCCACCCTTCAACCACTCTTTCCCTCCTTTTTTTTTTTCTGAACTTGGGCCCTTGCACATGGGAAGCAGGAGGCAGAACCACTGAGACAATTCCCTGGCCTTTCCCTCCTTTTTGTTTTGTTTTGTTTTGTTTTCTGAGACAGGGTCTCACTATGTAGTTGAGACTGACCTGGAACTCACTATATAGCCTAGGCTGGTCTCGAACTCACAGTGATCCTCCTGTCTCAGCCTCCTGAGTGCTGGGATTACAGGCGTGCACCACTACGCCCGGCTTTTTCCCTCCTTTTTTTTTTTTGGTACGGGGGATTGAATTTGGGTCCTTGATCTTGCCAGGCAGGCGGCAGAACCATTGAGCCAAATCCCCGGCCCTCCCTCCTTATTTAATAAAACTGTTTCCATTTTTTTCCTTCTATAAACATCAATTATTGTAGCATTTTGGCTGACTTTCATACTTGGTAATTTTTGTCAGAATTTCTATAGTTTGAATTTTTTCTAATGTATCATAATTACTTTTCTTTTTTTCTTTTAAGATATATGAAGGCTTAGCATACATAGTCTTGATAAAAAATAGCTGAGGTGGACCTGGCTTGTTAAGGAGGTGCAAATTAAAATGGCCCTAGCCATGGTATTCAGCCTATGGCTAGGCTGATGGAGTTGGAGGAGCACTCTCGACACATTTAAGTGAATTTGGTAATGTATATTCTTTTTTTTTTTTGGCTACCGGGGATTGAACTCAGGCCCTTGTGCTTGCAAGGCAGGAGCCAGAACCACTGAGCTAAATCCCTGGCCCTGTATATTCTTTTTTCCTCAATAATCTGGTATCAAAAATGTAAAGGACAAAGCAGTTGATCAGTTTCTCTTCCCTGACTTCCTAAGGAAATGAATAAGTACCTAGTCATGTTATGTTGTCTGGTTTTTGCCTCCTTGTTACTAAGAGTGAAGCTTTGGACAATATGCACCCTGCAGGGATTGTTGGGCTCCACACAGACCCGCCTTGTAGGTTCACATGGATCTCCCAGCTTCTCTGAGGGTAACAAGTGTTGCTTGTGTGGGCCATGGGAAGGACGATGTGGGAGTACTTTTCTAGTGCTCTCTGTGAGATCACCAGGAGGCCAAGTGTCATTCCTCTTTTTTCCTAGCTCCTTGCCTTTTTTGCTTCCTCCTTCTGCGAGTACCCCTTCAACAAAAGTCTCCATCTTTGGCTCTGCTTCTGGGGTATATGATCCAAGATATAGCCACTGAAAAATGATATAAGTACACCCATATTAACTGACCTGAAATTTCATAATACACTGAGGTGTATAATGTTTGTTTTATGTATGTATGTATGTATGTATGTATGTATGTATGTATGTATGCGGTATTGAGGATTGAACCCAAGGCCTTCACACTGAGCTACAGCCCCATCTGTTTGTTTTGTTTTGTTTGAGATAGGGTCTTGTTATGTAGTTTAGGTTGGCCTTGAACTCCTTATGGAGCCCAGGCTGGCCTCCAATTTGGGACAATCCTTTCGCCTCTGCCTCCTAAGTGCTGGAATTACATGTATGCACCACTATGCCTTTTTGTTTTGTTTTGTTTTTTGAATCTTTCATTTTGAGACAGGGCCTAAATTGCCTGTGCTGGGCCTGAACTTGTGATCCTTCTGCCTAGCCTCCTAGAATGCTGGAATCACAGACATATGCCACTAAGCCCAGCTGCTCATTGTAAAATAAATGCCCAACAAACACACTCACATAAAACCCCACTAGCCAATAATATAGTATGGAGTTAAGTATGATTAGCAAATGGCAATTGTTGAATCTAGTCATTGTATTAATCTTTCAACTTTTTCATAGATTTAAATTTATTCAAAGTAAACTAGAGAAAAATGTATCTCTGGGCACCAGGATTACTTTAGCAACCTCAGGAATTGTGGGAATTGGCTTGTTTTTTTATTTTGTATCCAAGGACTTTGTGTGCTACACTTCCAATGCTGGTATCAAATGTTTCTGACAAAGCTTGCTCTACCATCTGGTGGACACCGACTTCTGGGGCACTGTACACTCTGGGCGCTGGCATATGCCTTCTCCTGGGGCTACGGGTGAGCACTGCTTTTACCTTATAACTTCAGCTTGCCTAATTAAATGCTCTATCAGCTTGGACATATCTCAGCTGAACTTTGTACATGACTAGCTAGATTAACAGTGTATTTTCAATGTGATCCAACTCTTCCACTTATGGGAAACTAGCCAAAGGAATTAACAAATGTGCTGATTCTACCAGGAAATAATCAGACAATCCCAATGTCCAAAGCTGGACTGACCTCAGGATATTACATAATCAATGAAAACAATACTGCAGACATGGCAGATATGAAAAGGATAGTCATCATGTACGGTGCAAAAAGCAAGTTAGAAAATTGTATGATGTGAGCAAAATCTAAAAAAAATACATCCACAGATTTGGAATATAAAAATGTTTGACTCTGACTGAGCAAATGAAATTTTAGGTTTTTGTCCTTTTTGCTTATCTGTATTTCCTGACTCATCTGTAATAAATGTCTTGCAAAAAAAAAAAAATCATTAAAAGGCTGAATGTGGTGATGCATGCCTGTGACCCCAGAGCTTAGGAGGCTGGGGCAGGAGGATTGTCACAAGTTCAAGGCCAGCCTAAACTACATAGAGAGACCCTATCTTTAAAAAAAAAATTAAAATACACAAATTATGGAATTTCCTTATAATAAAAACTTAAAACATGAGATTATATGACACCTAAACATTTAAATCTTCTTGCAAGTCTATTTACAAGATGCAACCTGCGTTGTGGCCAAGACTTCAGGTTCTATCTAGGTTTGGGACAGCTTGGCTACATCTAGACTCAGAACCTTAGGCAGACTTCCTAGCCTTTGACTCTATCTATGTAAGGGAGATAGCAATATCAACCTCAGCTTTGTTGAAGGTCACATAATATGTGGAAACACAATAAACTATACTTGGCACAATGCCTAGCAGAGTGAGTGTGTGATAGATTACTAGTAAGGTAGATGTCCTAGGCTTTCTGCAAAGGACCAGATGTCTTCTGTATATATTTGACTGCAGGTAGATTTTGTCTAAGCCTAGAGGACTCAACTGGCCTCTCTGATAGCTATGCTGGGCTTACTGCCTTCGTTTCAAAAGGAGGGTGCAAGCAAGAGCAAAAGCAGGCCATTCAACTTCCTGGAACCACCTTTTCCATTTGGGAGGTGGAGGTGAAGGTGGTGCCATTCTTTAACGCACAAAGCCCAGGAGTCCAAAGGTCAAAGACCAAGGTCTGACACCCCACAAGAAGAAAGTATCCCTGGCATCTACTGGGAAAAGAAAGTACTATATACTTTTAAGACACACAAAAGGAAGCTATTTATTTGGAAAATAATATATTCAAAATCACCCAAATTCAATATACAGTAACCAGGAGAGGTCTTAAGCAACTGTTCATTTAACAAATAAAACTTTAACTGATTATGTAGTGGTTTTCCATATTTTCCTGAAATTAATCCCATTAATTCAGTGGGTCTAGGATGGGCCAGTAATATGGAACTCATTTTTATAAATATCTCTAGATGACTTATCAAGTCCAAGGAAATCTGGAAAACACTGACACGGACCATAACTTTTAGCTTCATTTGCAGATTTGTCTTCAACCACTCATCCCAGAATAACTCACTGAAAAGTCTTATTCAGTTCAGTTTTAGGGAAGAAAACTTAAGACTTAATGAAGGTTTGGTTCCATATATTCTCTTCCTAGAATGCATCACAAATCCTTTGGTTTGGTTGTTCCCATTTCTGTCCCAGCTCTTCCAGATCATGTTTTTCCTGAAAGGTCTATTTTCTGCGATTTAAGACTAACGATTCAATCAAATCATTTTGTACAAGTAGTTTCTACTGAAAGATTGTCAAATTTAATAACCTCTGCATGCTTCTGTCGTGCTCCTTTCTCTCTTGATACTGAAATTAGGGCATTTTGTACTGACTTAATATTCTGACTTTTCCACCTTAAACTTCATACTGACCACCCCGTCTATGCCAGCCTCCAGATCATCGTTTTCTTTAACTGGCCCAACTCCCTTTGGTGTCCCTGTCAAGATAAGGTCTCCTTCTTCCAAGGTTATTATTTTAGAAACATAGCTGATGATGTAGGGGATGGAAAAGATCATAGAGGATGTCTCGCCCTCCTGCCTGAGTTCGCCATTGACCTTGAGCCACAGTCTCAGGGCGTGAGGGTCAGGGATCTTCTCTTTGGGTACGAAGGCGCTGACCGGGCAGGACGACGTGAAGCTTTTGGCCAGGGTCCAGGGCAGTCCTTTTTTCTTGCACTCATCCTGCACGTCCCTGGCGGTCATGTCCAGACATAGGGCGTACCCAGCCACATAGTCCATGGCGGCAGCCTCGGGAACTGCGCGGGCGCGCCGACCCATAAGCACGCCCAGCTCCAGCTCGTGGTGCAGGACACGGCAGTAGGAGGGCAGAAGCACCGGCGTGCCTTCGGGCGCGTACGCGGTGGATGGCTTCAGGAAGATAACGGGCTCGCGGAGTACGGTGCTGCCCATCTCCCGGACGTGGTCCGCATAGTTTCTCCCCACGCAGACGATATTCTTCCCCCATTCCCAGAAGCGGGACAGCTGCCGAGAGCCAGCCATGGCGCAGTCCTGGATCACGTGGTCACCTCCTCCCTCGCCTACAGCAGCCCAGAGGGGACAAACTGCCTCGGAACGCTGTCTCGTCAGCGACTGCCCGCCCTACCTTTAGGGGCTCCTGGGTACTGCTGTATGCTAGCTGCTTCGTAACGCCAGCCCCGGCCTGGGGGGGATACTGAGGTTCCGAAACACCTCTCCTTCCATTTTGCCTTGGTCTTGGTCCCTGACCCGCAGTTCACCCGAGGAGGAGTGATTTCGTTGGACTGGAACGCGACGATTGGCTGGGAGTGGCGCTGGGCGGGGAGAGACAAGCTTTGGAGCGCTATTTGGCTGGAGGTAATAATGGGCGGGCACTGACTCACGGGGGGCGGTGTTGGGCGGGCACTGGTTGATTGGGGGCGGTGATTGGCTGTGGCTGCCGA